AAGGGCAGAAATTACCACTACTTTACATGACCTGGCAGGTATTTTTTTGGAGGAGACCAAATTCAGACTGGGTCTTGAAAAGTGAATAGGACTTTGAAAAGTAAAGATGGATGGAAAACCTAAATGAGAAAAGAAGGAGTGCCGGTGTTTTCCAGAAGCCTAGTCTGTATGTCAGCACATTGTGAACAGATTTCTATGGATGGTGTCTCATCATGCCTTTCCAAGGACAAAGCACAGAGGAACATAGCTATAGGATTTGGGGAAAAGCAAAAAGGCAGGAAAGATGAACTAGATGACAATGGAGATCACCTCCAGGACCAAGTCAAGAAATCTGACTAACTGGCAGGAAAAATGGAACACTTCCAACCTTGTTCCTGAATGTCCCGAATAAGAGAAAAAGAAAGAAACAACCAAAAGAGAGAGAGCAAGAAAGAAAGGGCACTGGAACATACATTTTGTTATACATTAGTGGCCAGCACATTTTTTTTTTTTTTTTTTGACAGGCAGAGTGGACAGTGAGAGAGAGAGACAGAGAGAAAGGTCTTCCTTTGCCGTTGGTTTACCCTCCAATGGCCGCTGGGGCCAGCGCACCGTGCTGATCCGAAGGCAGGAGCCAGGTGCTTCTCCTGGTCTCCCATGCAGGTGCAGGGCCCAAGTACTTGGGCCATCCTCCACTGCACCTGGCCACAGCAGCGAGCTGGCCTAGAAGAGGGGCAACCGGGAGAGAATCCGGCGCTCCGACCGGGACTAGAACCCGGTGTGCCGGCGCCGCAAGGCAGAGGATTAACCTAGCAAGCCATGGCGCCGGCGGCCAGCACATTTTAAAATGTTTCTAATTGCTTGTGTTGTACATGTGTGCTAGATTTCATTAAAAACCATAGGGTTTGGAAAAGTACTAAAAAGTCATTTATTTCACCTTCGATTCAGTGAAATAAATCTGTCCACATCATCCTGTCAAGATCCTCTGGCTTGTCTCTGCACTTTCACAACAAGGAACTCACATGGAGCCCTGCTGTGTGGCACACCCTCAGAACAGCTCAAGAGGTTGGGAAGCTTTTCTTTGAACTAAAATCTCCCTCCCAGCTTGGTCCTTTGGTCCACGATCTGGAGGGTCATAAAGTAACCTTTTTCCATGAAGCCTAAAATATGCTTTCTTCACATCTGAACAACTATTAAGCCGGAGGGAGTCTTACAACTGACTGTGATGTGTTACGTGGCAGCAATTTTTCCTAAAGACAACTAATGATGCATTTTATAACCAGTGGTATCACAGATGCAATAAAACATGGCAAGGTAATATTTTACACAAACTTGACCTAATGTCTCTTCAAGGTCTCATCTCTCTATCTCTTCCATGTCTGACAAATGCCCTTAGAACCAAATATTTCTTGGTCCAGCACCTCTCTCCCAATTACTAGCTGAGTGACCTTGACCTGGGTCACACTTCATTTTATCTCAGTTTCCTCATCTGTAAAACGGGGCTAACAACAACAGGCTTCCTGTGCATGCGTTACATGGGATAATAAGTAAGTTCTATTAGTATACATCATCATTATCATCATCTACTTCTAATAATTCCCTCTCTGCAGCCATCCTCAAAATGACATAGTTTCTGTTGCCTTTGCCCACTTCTGGATCTACTCTGATTTGCCAAAACCTTGTAAAAAATGCTTTATCCAGAAATGAACACATATGCTCTCATTGGTTTGGCTTATATATGGTACAGGAGGACAATCAATTGCCTTCATTCATGACATTGATACAGAGCATGGGATATAGTCTCTTAGCTAGAGATAAAGTAGAATGGCCAAGAAAGCATTTGCAGAGAGCAGGTGTTTAACCTTGAGGTTAAAAAACCAGGATTCCGTCATCAAAGTACCTAGGTTTGATTCCCTGCTGTGGTTCCTGCCACCTACATGGGAGACCTCCATGAAGTTCCTGGCTCCTGGCTTCCTCCTAGTCCAGCCAAGCTGTTGCAGGCATCTGGGGAGTGAGCAAGTAAATGGAAGACCACTCTGTCCCTTTCAATGCTCCCAATCTCTGCTTCCCTAATTTTTTTTTTAAAGAATGGATATTAAATAAGAAAAAAGAGGAATCAAGGGACTGTGACAGGCTACAACTAAGCTACAAATTTTTGCCAACATGTAGTTTATAAAGGCAGTAAAATATCTCTAGATTTTAATTTCTATCCAGCTCAATCCTCTTGGAGTAAAGATGAGGATAAGGAGGCCCCATGGGGATGAAAAGCAAATGTACCCAGCGAGCTGAACCTGGACATCCAGCTCCCAAGACTAAGATCACTGTTCCTCTCTCCCAAAGGCTTGTAACCTACTCCAAGAATACTAACCACAGCTGGAATTCCCCCAAGAAACACTCAGGGCCAATCTAGATGGTACTAATGAAGAGCAGAAGTAAACAATCAGTTAGAATAACAAACAAAGCCATTCAAAGCTCTCTGCTGCCCCAGAAGAGGAAGCTGCCAGGAGGAAGCCATGTTGCTCCCAGCCCCACCTGCAGGGCAGGCCTTCACTCCAGCCACAGCACAGGCCACACCCAGAATCCACTGACGTGGGTACTCCTCAGCGGCAGTACGCTCCACAACAACTTTCTGGGATCAGAACCTTGAAGCTGAGCTGATGAGCTGTGGGTGTCATTTCCTAAGATTAATATTTCTATATCTTCAGGCTCATCTATTGTTTCATAATAAAACACATTGAGTATTTTAAATTATAGCCAATTCTCAAAAGGCATATAGAAGTGGGATCTTGAGGCTTTATTCAAAACCCTATTCCCCCATAAAAAGAAAATTAAAAAAAAAACACTAAGAGAAAAATCATATAACCTGATGTATTTTTTAAATAACGTGGAGAAAAATACACATGAAGGAATTTTTTTCCCTTTTGGCTTTCAGCCTTTCTATAGCAGCTCTGCAAAAATCTCTGAGAAACAAAGAAGGCTTTGGGAGAATTCCTTTTAAGCTTGGATGGCAACCTTCCAACACACAGAGCCACATGAGGCCAATGGTAGAGACCTGCTTCTAGAACCTGCATTAGTACCTGACCTTCAGGAGGCAGAGCATGCACACACACACATGCACACCCACACACCCACACATACACACCCACACCCCTGTACACTCAGTGAGCAGGAAGCTCTAAGCTCATGAAGCAATCTACAGCTCCCTAAAAGCCCTGTCTTCCTCCAAAATCCTGAATCCATACCCGACTACTCCCCACCTTGAATGGCACAGCCAGAACTAGCAAAACCAGCATCTGTGTCACCTCTACTCTAGGAAGGCATTCTGCATCACCCATCTCCAACATCCCGCCTTTTAGACTCCAGACACAGGCATAGCAGCGTTATGTGCAAAGCTCAGCTGTTCTCAGAGTTTTTTATACTCAACTTCTTTGAAAAAAAAAATCCCCCTTCACGCCCCCGATCCTCTACCATAAGGAACGGGAAAAAAATATATAGATGCCACATAGATATCACAAGACTGCTTCAAAAGTTGCAATCTGTGATGGTTACTTTCATGTGTGAACTTGGCTAAGTGATAGTACTTAATTTTTCAAACCCTAATCTCGAGTTGCTGTGAAGGTATTCTGTAGCAGTTAACATCTACCATCAGTAACAGCAATCACTGTGGGTGGGCCTCAAGAAATCAGCTGAGAGGCCCTAGAAGCAAATGTTGAGATTTCCCAATAGAAGATGATCTGCCTCAAGATGGCAGCAGCAACTCCTGCCCAAGGGCTTCCTTACAAAAAATGTAATTACGCATCTCCTACTCCTTCTCTCTGGAGAGCCCTGACTACTGAAACACAATCCAGTCTCCTCCTTGCATCATTACAGACCTCTTTAAATGATATTACAAACTCAAATGCCAATGAGGGCCAGGCAGATAATGTCAGTGTCAACAGCAAGTGGCTGTTAGGCAATAAATGGCAATGAACAGGCTACCTCACTGTCTTGAAGAAACAGAGAATGTGAGGAACCACACTGAACGTGGGGGCACTGAGATATACAGGGTAAAATGATGTTGCCAGGCCGCAATGGGGAACCAGTGCCACTAGATGCTCCAAGCGTTCAACAAAACCAGAAATCCATGCTTTAAAAATGTAAATCACCCTCCTCCCAAAGCGTAACTACTGGCAACTAATTCCAATTGAAAACATCTAGTAACTCAACTCCTCAACTCTCTGGAAATCAAGTAAGTACAGCAAGACGGGAAGCCAGATGGTAGGCCAAGGGAACAGGCTCTGTGTTCCACATGCACTTACTCACTCAGTCCTCATAGCACCTCTGTGGTGTAGGCAGCATTACTGTGCCTCTTTTCCAGATGAAGAAACTAAGGCATAGAAAGGATACACAGTGTGGACAGGGTCACAGTACTTGGAAGTGAGGTGACCAAGAAGGCAACCCTGGGTGGAGCATGGGGCTATGGACAACATGGCATGCTTTTGTCTAGGGTCTTATTATTGAAGAGCTTGAAGCTCTTTATTTTCCTTTTTGTACATTACAATAGACTTGTAAAAGCAATTATGGAAACTTCAAGTGGAGAAAACGTGACACAGAGAACTAAAGAGTGACAGGCATTTGGTCTACTGATTAAGGTGCTGCTTGATACGGCTGCATCTTATCCCATATTGGAATGCATGGGTTCAAGCACCAGCTGGACTACTTATTCCAGCACCCTGCTAATGAGCAACCTGAGATGCAGCAGGTTGGCCCAAGTACTTGGGTCCCAACCACCCATGTAGGTGACTTGGATTGAGTTCCTGTATCCCAGCTTCAGCCTGGCCCAGCCCTAGCTATCATGGGTATTTGGACAGTAAAGAAGCAGATGGGAAACTGATTCCCTTTCTCTATCTCTGCCTCTCAAATAAATAAAAAAAAAATTTAAAGAGAAAATTAAAGGCACATCAGGGACTCACACAAGTGGAAGAGCCAATAATGCCACCAAAGCAGTTCTTATTTGCCTTTCAACTCCTAGGAAAGCTTACCATGAATGCATTTCTAGCAAAAGGCTTTGCAGGACTTTAGAAAATATATGGAGCTGGCGGGTGCCGTGGCTCACTAGGTTAATCCTCCGCCTGTGGCGCCAACACACCGGGTTCCAGTCCCGGTCGGGGTACTGGGTTCTGTCCTGGTTGCTCCTCTTCCAGTCCAGCTCTCTGCTGTGGCCCAGGAAGGCAGTGGAGGATGGCCCAACTGCTTGGGCCCGGCACCCGCATGGGAGACCAGGAGGAAGCACCCGGCTCCTGGCTTCAGATGCGCACAGCCCACCGGCCATAGCGGCCATTTGGGTGGTGAACCAATGGAAGGAACACCTTTCTCTCTGTCTCTCTGCCTGTCAAAAAAAAAAAAAAAAAAATATATTGAGCCACATAGAGTGTCTACCTTTCAGTTCAAAAAATTAAATGCTATAAGTCATGGAAAGCTCATGCCAATTCTGTGCTACTATGGAAGTAATCAGGATTCCAAATTTTGTGTGTATCATCCACATGCATATGCAAGTGTTTACACTGTGACCTCATAAGCTATAGAGCATCTAAGATGCTTTGTATGCTTTTAAAACCTGAAGTAAATGGTACCATCAGGTATATACTCTTATGCAACTTGCTTTTGTTTTTTCCACATTAATGCATTTACTATTTATTTCTACTATTGTATAACAATCCACTGTATGAAATGACATGGGGTATTTATCCATTTGTTCCTAGATACTGAGCCTGTATTATGCACAATGCACAACACAGCAGAGTTCATTCTCACATCGGGCATCTTGTGGATAAGTGTGGTTAAGTAGGGGTGACTAAAATGATTTTACTACGGTTATGTAAAATGCAAAAAATAGAGGAAGTGGGTGATTTAGGGATGTCCAGGGACTCCTGGTATTATTTTTGTGAGTGTGCTGTAAACCTAAAATTAGTTCAAGATATAAAACTTTAGAAAAAAAAAAAAGGAAATCAACATCTCCTTTAAGCCACTTAACGCTATTCCTCACAGGACTGCAAAGCTTTGGACTAAATCCCAGGCACAGACAAGACCGCCGCAGTGGTGGAATCTAGAAAAGGTTGCCTCTAGGGCTTCCAACCCCAGAAATGTCACAACACCACCACGTGAATCTGGCTGTTAAGAATGCCTCAAACAGCTGAGATTACATATGGGCAAATATAGTTAAGTAACATCAAAGCAATCCTTTGAATACTTATAAAGACAGGAAGAAGTGATTTAAATTTAAAGGACAACAAAGATCCATTAGAGTCAAAAAGTGCCTCAAGCCATAATCCCTCTCTATCCAATATATGAAATGAGTTGACTTTTTCACTGGCTTAAATTGAATCTGATATTATTCCTTAACTCTGTTCATTTGAAGGTATACCTAAGAGTCTGAGATTCCCCCTATACTACGAGTGAGGGGTACCTCATGAAATTCTAACATCTCTTCTTTGTCCCCCTATTCTTGCCAACCAGTCAGACACCCTGGGCCAGGAGAAAACTATTTATGTAAAGTCCCTTGAGGGTGGGACTAGGAAGAGCTCATTCCATGGGCCAAACCTGACCCTAGCCAGCTCCTCTAGGAATCCTGCCAGCACTAGCCTCATCTGTGCCACATCACTCATCTCCTCCTCCCTCCGTTTGGACTTACATATTCCCTCTGGCCTCCATCACTTAGCACTAGTGGATGTTTTGACTGGGATGATCTGTAAGCCCCTGTTGCTGTCTCTTCCTACAAGGATTATAAACATCTTGAGGCATCATGTCAATCCGTCAACGGTGCAATTGCCAGAATACAACAGAAAGAAGCTGAACTGGAAAGGAAGCAAGGTCTTGGTTCCTAGTAACACATCTGTAACCACAAGCTAAGGATGTTACAATCTTTGTGAGGACTCAATTGCCACATCTTTCTTCAATTTCTAAGATATGTCCCTCCCATTAAATTCTATTTGTAAATAGTCCACACATCTCACCTTCCTCTGCTGACAGTTTATTATATTTGAGAGACACAGACCCAGGGAGATACAATTCTTGCCAATAAGAAACATCTGATTATTTTCTGGTACTGATCACAATATAAGTAGTCCACTATCTACTAAAGGCTGCCAAATAAATGTTGCTGGAAGTAACAGACTGATAAAGCCGTGACAGGGGAATAAACAGCCACAGCAGATCCTTTATCCAATGTGTGCTTTCTCTCTCGCCTCCTCGATTATGGCCCACACTCAGGAACAGTTTGACATTTTAGCACCATATGGCTCAGTGAGGATCCAAAGGCCACACAGAAAGTTGCAGGCCATTTGGCATTTCCCATATTTGCCCAGCTGGATGGCACCAGGCTTCCAGCTGCAGCCTGAATCAAGCCTAGGAGGACCAGGGTTTGTCCAGGATGCTAGCACAGCAGCAACAGAGCTCCGCGGTGTGTACGTTGACGCCAAAGCTAATCATCAAATGCTAATTTTCGCAGATTTCTGACACAGCTGAGAAAAATACACACTGGTGGTTTGCAATGACCTGTCTTTCCACCAGAGGTATCCCATCATCACAGTCTATACCATAATGCCATATCTCCAAAGCACCCTGTAGTATGCTCACTCTCCTTGGGAAGCTTGAGTGCATCAAGGAACCCAACAGGGTGACCAGCATACAGTAAGCAGACAGGAGTGCAAAGAAGGATCTCATCCCATGAATACTCCTGGATTTCAACAGTAGAGGTTTTTTCCTATTGGGTTACAAATACCTCTTGCTTGTGAAAATGTTAAATGCTAAACTCAGAAATTTTCATATGCTTCTGTAAGAGCTGCTGCTTATGTGATAAAACAATACCTATGTTGTGAAAAGAAAGTTGGAGCTGGCACTGTGGTGCAGTAGGTTAGCCCTTCGCCTGCGGTGCTGACATCCCACCTGGGTTCTAGTCCCGGCTGCTCCTCTTCCTATCCAGCTCTCTGCTATGGCCTGGGAAAGCAGTGGAAGATGGCCCAAGTGCTTGGGCCCCTGCACCCACATGGCAGCAGCTCCTGGCTCTTAGCTTTGGATTGGCCCAGCTCCTGCTGTTGCCGCCATTTAGGGAGTGAACCAGGGTATGGAAGATCTCTCTCCCTGTATGTAACTCTGCCTCTCAAATAAATAAATAATCTTTAAAAAAAAAAAAAAAAAAAAAGGAGGAAAGCTGAAAATGGTTCCATGGCAGGGAGCGGGCACTTCTCTTGCAATGAAGCAAGAGAGAGGAGGTAGGTAGCGAGCACAGCAGAAATGAAAGCCGAGTGTAAATCTAAGACAATTGGTCTTGGGATCTGGAATGAGGATATCTTCTAAGCATTTGTGTTCAGAGATAGGCTGAGTTCACTGAACCACATCCTGAAGCAAGGATTTGTTTTCACTGCCCATGTCTCATTATTCCAAACCCTAAAATCTCTCTTAACATATGAACAGACACATACTAATCACTCTCTTGCTAGACTTGAGATTGCTTTGGCTCACATAAAACTGAGCCACATGTAAGCATATGCTATTCAGGAAAAGGGCCTCAGGGCTCACCGTCCCGCAACGTGATATAATCAGAGATGCAACAAAAGTCTTCCCAGTTGATGGTGAGAAAGCTGGCTATTGAGAGGATGAGAAATCCAGAAGGACTCACCATTCCTAGCTTAATAACAGTTAATCTGCACACACACCTACCAGGATCATTAAGTTGGATTTTTATATTTCCTTAATGATCTATTTCATTCTTTCTCTGGTAAGCTTTGCACTGCATTAGACATTCATGCACGCTAGGGATAATTACAGAAACATGATTTGCATGGAAATGCTTTTTCCATCAGACTTCTCTAAAGTCCAATCACAGCAGGCAAGTCACAGAACTCAGTTTCCTAGAAGAAAACAAAATGGGAAATGTGCTGGTTGAGGGCAGGCAAAAGAGCAAGGGCATAAAAATATATCTACGACAACCTACTGCAGACTTTATTAGAATATGCTCAAATGTTTATTTGTGATATAGAAAGAACTTTGGTGCAGAAATGATATTTGACAACCTAGAAAATGTATTTGACAACTCTATAAGGCTTGCTGCCATCCAATGGTTTCATTAATTTGAGGTTATGAATTTGTGATAATTCAGCAATATCAAAATTTTGTTCTATTTTCTCTGAAGAAAGGAGTTGATCGGGAAAGCAGGAATGGAAATAAAAATGATTTTGTAAAATACATAAAAGACTTTTTTCAAAGGCCTACAATACTTTGTAGACACATCTGAACAAATGATATATTACTAATATATAGTGAATTTTACAGATACCTCATAATATATATAAAAACTTACTAAAATATTTGAAGGCAATAAAAGGCTATGTTTAATAATGTTTTATATAATGATCCTGTTCCTTGTTTAGAGTATCCTCAATCTAAATTTAGTATTGTCATTAGAAATACATATGGGTAAATAATAAATTACTACCTTTTTAAGAGATCATAATCAACTATCTTTTCCAAATGGTAAATAAAAACATCTGGGGATGTACAAGGAGATACAAATCTAGGTTCTACTAGTACCAGCATAATAATTTTTTTATTCTTGTAGAATGTAATTGAAAGCATAGACATTTATAGGTATATCAGTAAATGCCTGCCACCGTAAAGTCTGTACTGGATCCTCTTTTCCTCTAACTCTTCCCTTTCGGCCTAACAATGAGTCTTACAGTTAGGAGACCTGTGGCCTAAAAATACTTTTTTTTTGAAATGGTGTTTACTCTTTGCTAGTACCCCAAAACACCCTCCAATGCATTTCCTACAAGGAAGTTGAGTTTGCCTACTTTTCTCATAAAGTCTGGTGATGCTACTTTAGAAGATTCCGGCAACAACCTTAACAAAAATAAAGGATTCATCTGGGAGACAAGCCCTGCGTCACAGAATCTCTGCACCACATTCAAGTAATTGAAGATAGGGGTGAAGAATCCATCCTTAACTACACAGGAACGGTTCCCAGGAGCAACAGTAGATTTTGATAAAGAAACGCCTCCATCAGGAGTCGGTTTAAAACCCTCAATTTAATTACTTTTCCATCTCCTTTCTCAACCTTTCCATCTCATTTCACAGCCTCTCCCAGCTCTCCCCTCAGGCCTGATTCCACCCTCTGCACAGCCACCAGCTCCCTCCTTCTCTTTCACAGTCCCGTGGCCTGGTGATCTCTGCTCTCTGTGTCTGACTTTCACAGCCTCCAGCCTTCTAGTAAACTGTGGCTGAATCGATGTCTTTCACTGGAAGTATGTGCAGATAGTATTGTTCTTGACAGATAGAAAAGCTCTTCCTTTAAGACATATAAACCACAGGCAAAATTAGCCAAAGACCTTTCTC